GTGTAATCGTATAGCCGAATCCGTATTAACCATCGGGCGATGGTCGGGTCCGTCAGACTAAAGTCCTTCTGGAGGACAGAGGCAACCGCGGTGGGGTCTACTCTCAAGATGAACCGTCGCCCATAGATATAGTGTCTGAACGTGTCTAGACACCGGAGAACAGCTAACACCTCCTTCTTGAATTAACTGTAGTTACGCTCAGCCGTATTAAGTGTCTTACTCTCAAATCTTAACAGTCTTTCCTTCCCTCCAGCGTTCTTCTAAGACAGCAAACCACCCATTGAACATGGTCCAGCATCCGTGGATACTATGAAGGGTCTCTCGGTCTCATCGTCAAAGAATGGCACGCCCAACACGCGTCCTCCCTCCTTAAATTCGTCTTTAAGTTCTTGCATTGCGAGTTCCTGCGAAGAATCCCAGTAGAATTTTTCAGTCTTTCGAAGGAGTAACCTCAATGAATCAGCCTTCTCCGCATACCCCCGTATGAATATACGCCAGTAACCGACCACTCCCAGAAACTGTCGGACCTCGGTTGGGCTATGTAACGGTGACGGCCAGTTCAGGAGTTTGTCTAACTTCGCCGGGTCTGCTCGGCGTCCTCTCGAGTCACATATAAAGCCCAAGATCTTAATAGTCGAGACGGCCCATCGGCTCTTGGTCCCGCTGACTGTCAAATTCGCATCGTCCAGCTGCTCGAGTACCGCGCAAATGTCTGTTAGGTGTTGCTCGACGAATCTTCTAACTCCAGGTATAACCTCTGTCTCATCGCTGTCTACTGGTCCTTTTATAGGAAAGTCATCCAGAAAAACTTCAACCTTACCAGGGATGAAGTCCTTGAGGACGGCTACCATGGCTCTCTGAAAAACGGCTACCCCATTAGTCCAACCCATAGGGACAACCATCATTTGAATAAGTCCCAATGGCGTATGCATAGCCGTGAGGTGTCTGTCCCTAGGGTCAAGCGGTACCTCATCATAGCCTGAGAACAGATCACAGACCGAATAGATCGACCTACCTGCCGCGCCTTTTGCCAGAAAATCGGCGTGCGGCACGGAGCCCACGTCTCGTATCGTCACCTCGTTGACCTTCTGAAGGTCCTGGATCCATTGGATCTTACCATTCGGCTTTCGTAGGAAGAACCATCGATTTGCATAAGCGCTATCAGACGGCTTCGGAACATGGGAAACCATCTTTTCTTTCAGGAAGGCGATAACTTCTTCCTTCTCCTTCTGGGCGTATTTCCATCCCGCGTCGTTCCAGGGAACATGTGGTATCGTGTAAATCCTTGCTAGCTTAGCGTATCGAGGTTCAATCCTACCGCGCTCCGCGTCGCTGAAAGCTATGGCCTTATCACATGTCTTCAGGATTTCTATCACACGTTCTCGCTCCTGTGGGGTCAAATTTCCATCTTCGATGTCCATCTCTGCTATCTTCTCTTCCGTTAGGCGTTGCGGCTCGTTTTTCTTTTTTTCTTTGATTTCTTTCGCGATTTCTTCTTCTGATACCCTTTCCAGTGCCGATCGCTCGCGGCCCACCGCCGCTGGCTTAACTTTTTGAGCTACTCGCTTGTGTCGCTTGGAGAGCCCCCCATAGGGTGCCGTGCCCTTAAAAAAGACACGGATACCACACCGCCAAATTCCTCATCTTTTCCCTTGGGGTACGGGTTGCCGTCCACTATTAGCCTGCTTCCTAAATCTTCTACCTCCACCATCCTACCTTCTTCCTCTGTGAGCAGTGGTCCATATCTCTTCTCGCGAAATCGCACCGCGCGGCCGGAGATGGGTAAAAACTTAATCTGATCACTGGGTCTTGCACCTACAGCGAGAGCTGCTCTGTTCCTCGGGTCCCGAGGCTCCACTGTCTCAATCATCACCCGTGTCCCGTCTGGCTTCCTAATGGACAATGTTTGACTCCCATCAGGTCGTTCTATCGTCACCGCATGCACGTGGCTCAACCACGTTCGACCCAAGAGCAGGTCAGAGCTACAGTTCTTGACTGCAAAGACAGGCAGGGTCACTCCTACCCCTTGGACCTCTATGGTTGCCTTGTGACAAACCCCAGTGATCTGTTGCTTTCTCCCATCAGYCGTCTCTATCYCGAATAGGTATGACCTATCGAGGGTCAGTCCAACTTGTACTGCCAGGTCCTCGTCTATGATGACAGCCTCACTGCCGTTATCAATCACAGCATCGACTATCGCTCCATCGTTTATAATCGTCTCTACGGCCCCGTTACCAAGTATACAAAACTTGTCTGGAGGCACACCTTCCATCCCATCGAGAAGGACTGTCGCCATGCGATCCTCTCTGGCTGTCACCCCCGTTACAGCTACTGTAGAAGCTTCCGCTTTAGGGGCTCCCTGACCCTCCTCTGATAGAGGTATGCGAGTCTTCCGCGTGATCATCTGTAATTCATCACGAGCCGGCTTGGATGCCGCCAGGTACTCCAGAATAGAGCACTGCATTGGTTGTCGAAGGGCCCGCCTCAGTGGCTCAACCGTGTCAATCTCATCCAACGAACTCTTCATTAAGAACTTCTTGACTMYMCSYTTTCGCGGCGAAAGGATAACCTCTTCTCCATCGACCCGCTGCCCGTCCTTCTCCGTCATCACATAATCAGTGTCAGTCTTCTTCGATGTAGACCCTCTTRCTGACTTGGTGGCTGCCACCCTTATGGGTGTGGTCGCGATATCCCCCTCAAAGATTATCTTGATGCTCTGGCTCCTGACCGGCTCCATTCCTTTACTCGTCTTTATTCTCCTTGCTTCGACGTTCTCCTTCATCGAAGGAAACAATG